GAATATGCAACACGAATACAAACAAGCAGCCTATCGGCTGAGATAGCTCCACTGTTATAGCAATGCACATTTCAATTAAAGAACTGAAGACATCATTAGAAAATGAACAATATATATCAAAGCAATCGGAGTTTTTAACACGAAGTCGAAAATATCACTTTCTACCAAAAATGACAAAAATATTCACCAAAATTAGAGAATTGAAGATATCATCACGAAATGAACAAATCTGAGAAAGGTCTACATGTAGTATCAAAGCAATTGAACTTTTGGTTTTTAACAAGAAGTCGAAAATATCACTTTTTACCAAAAATTACAAAAATAGTCACCAAAATTAGAGAATTGAAGATATCATCACAAAATGAACAAATCTGAGAGAGGTCCACATGTAGTACCTATATATGTAATATCAAAGCAATTGAACTATTGGTTTTTAACAAGAAGACGAAAATATCAATTTTTACCAAAAATGACAAAAATATTCACCAAAATTAGAGAATTGAAGATATCATCACGAAATGAACAAATGTGAGAAAGGTCTACATGTAGTATCTATATATCTAATATCAAAGCAATTGAACTTTTGGTTTTTAACAAGAAGTCAAAAATATCACTTTTTACCAAAAATGACAAAAATATTCACCAAAATTAGAGAATTGAAGATATCATCACAAAATGAACAAATCTGAGAGAGGTACACATGTAGTACCTATATATGTAATATCAAAGCTTGCGGTTTTTAACAAGAAGTCAAAAATATCATTTTTTACCAAAAATGACAAAAATATTCACTAAAATTAGAGAATTGAAGATATCATTACAAAATGAACAAATGTGAGAGAGGTCCACATATAGTACCTATATATGTAATATCAAAGCAATTGGACTTGCGGTTTTTAACAAGAAGTTGAAAATATCACTTTTTACCAAAAATGACAAAAATATTCACCAAAATTAGAGAATTAAAAATATCATCACGAAATGAACAAACCTGAAAGAGGTCCACATGTAGTACCAATATATATAGTATCAAAGCAATTGGACTTGCGGTTTTTTACAAGAAGTCGAAAATATCACTTTTTACCAAAAATGACAAAAATATTCACCAAAATTAGAGAATTGAAGATATCATCATGAAATGAACAAATCTGAGAGAGGTCTACCCAAGGTACATATACACCAAGTATCAAAGCATTCAGGCTTGTAGTTTTCAAGAAGAAGTCGAAAAAGTAAAACATTGACACGGACGACGTCGGACGACGATGGACAATCACTCATATGATAAGCTCCGCTCAACAAAGTCGACAGCGGAGCTAAAAAAGGTGTGACAGGAATGCCATACGAATACAATAAATGTATGGTAGGCTGGCGAAAGCCGTACTTTACATATATGTATAAAAATAGATAACTAATAAGACTGAATGAGAAGAATATTATGCTTGTTAAAACTAATATCATAAACACATGTCAATGATATACTAACTTCAAGACTGGGTTGACAACTGATTTAATATTTCCAAATGCAGCTCTACAAGTGAGATCACGAAGACATGTTTCCGCCACAGTGCTCGGATGTTCATCAATTTGAATATTCTGTTGATCTTGTTGACTTGATGTTGTACTACAAAGCAATACAAATATCATATATTGAGGCAAAATAAAACAAGAATAGCCTTCTTGTATGCAAATGAATGAGACAGACATAGATGTTTAGGAACACATACACCCACCCACTCACTCACTCACCCACCCACCCAAATAATGATCCAGAAGATAGTTTCTTTCTCACAAAAAAAAACTTGAAATGCATATAAATGGGATACAAAAATATCGAAATTCATCACCCACACTATCAAATTTATTACAAAGAAATTTCAGGACTTTACCGCATTTGTGACGACAGAATTTCGCGAAAGTCACTAACACTACATATCAGAGGACACCAGAGAAATTATAACTGCTACAAAATGTCATGATTTTCGCGGACTTACAAAATTTACATACTTTGGTCTCTCACAAAGTTTGCAGTATGAAAATTAGAACACGATTGAATAAATCTGATATCACAGGTTACTCATTAGATATCTATTTATTCTCACTGCAGTGTTGTTATCAGACATGAAACATTAGGCTCATGGTTTAATTGTTTGTCTTTACTCTGAGACAAATTGTCTCACAAAAATGTAAGCAAATACAAGTGAAAATTAGCGTAGAATAAAATTCAAACATAATAAACATTTGAGTAAACCACTATAAGGGGAACTAAATACTTCATTTCTGGATAGTTGTCTGAAACTTCCTGGTGAGAACACTTTCACTGCAGGGGTTTTTCTAGAAAAAAACTGCAAGGGGGAGCACTGCAATTCAGCAGTGCCACCAAGTGGGGAAGATAGGGTTCTCCCTACCAGGGTGTGGCGTTTTTGATATTCTAAGTTAAAATAGAGCATTCTATGGCTTCCTTGGGGCCAAAATTACTATCAGACAGGTCACAGTTGAAAACTGTGGCCAGATGTGATCAGGGTCAATCAGAATTTCATGGTTGCCAAAGGATCTGCTACTCAGGGTAAGGGGGCGCAAGGCCATGGCATGAGGGCGCTGCACCCCAGTTCAAACAAATCCCTGCACTGATCATATATTTAGTATTACCATCTCACCTGCTTGGTTCATTATGCATATTGAATAATAATGAGGGTATTATTTTATCCATATGTTGTTGTTCCCAAATATTGACCTGCAAATCATCAGATACAGTTTTCCTAACAACACCCTGTAAGCCGCGTAGTCCAGCTAACCGAATTCTGAAAGAGAAAAAGCTATAATTCATCAGAATATTTTCAAAGAATACACCACTAGTTGGAAGTCCTGACACTGCTCAGTGTTACATGGACAGCACATACTGTAAAAACTAATTTAACATAATTTATTGATTTTTTGAGTTTTGACCAATCACAGAATTGTGCTGTATTTTGTTCTCCAAAATTTCATCCACCTTAGATTTTTCTTCTTAGAAGAATGGTTTGACTCTTATTTAGGCTTTAATTAATGAAAACCAGAAGAATCAAAACATCTTCCACTGATCATCTACTGCTATTACCATAATCACACAAATATCTTTCCTTTTCCTTGGTTCTAACAGCATTGTTCATTATTCAGTCATGGTTCAATGCAAAAAACTGTTATTTCTTTGGTTTTCTATGAAATGCATGTAAATTTCAAGTTTGTATATTGTGAACGAATGCGTAGAATACTTGATCGTTTCCATACTAGTTCTTAAATTGAACAAATACAATATCACCCCTCTATGAAGTGTTTCATAAAGCATCTGTATCTGTGTGTCATTCACAATACAGTGAATGCATCTATATCAGCATCCTTTATTCTATGTTTTTATATTACCTCAAACCTTGCAAATAGAAGTGTGCATGGAATCATGGGAAGAAACAGTGTGCATTGTTGGTGATAACTGAAATAAATGTGATTGACAAGTCATACGTGTTTACAACTCTGGAAGAACAATTGGAATCTGTCATGTGACAATGACTTACTTAATCTTAGTGTTTGTACCAGCATTGCTACTATGGCACATGGAACTGAACTTTGACACAAAAAAATCATATCGCCTATGATATGATGCTGTATCCTCTTCAATGTTTGCAAATTTCACAAACTGAAAAACAAAATTAGAGAGAAATAATGATAATACATGTATTTGTTATTATCTGTAATTTCATATCTGATTATTAGTCTTCGCAACATTATACCTCGGGCATGCTTTGACTAATTTTTGTTCAAGTTAATACAAAGACAAGTCAAAATAGATCTCATAGACACTTTAATTTGATCTAGACCTAAACCTAGTAATGGCATGTTGGGTTGCTAATGTATGGCAGTTTGTTTTGTGATTTCATTAAAATGGCCGTCTGGTGGCCATATTTCTTTATACATGTATGTCTGGTTATTCACTGTAAAGTTGTCCAGAGATACTCATTTTTATTCAAAATGGCCAACTGCCAACTGTCACTATTTTGTTTTGTTTTGGTTCTAAGATGCATTTTCATCACTGATTTTGTTTGATACAAAAGCAAGAAATAATGGTATGAATATTCTCCCATTGTTTTAGGGTTTTTGATGTAATTTAAGTCCTTCATGATAACAGGTATAGGTCTGTGCCACTTGGCTGTCACTTTGTCGCTTTAACTGAACAAAATTTGAATAGGGTGTTATTTGAAATAACACTGTGTTTATCTTCATCTTTGAATGTTATAATTGTCACAGTCATTCAAAATGGAACTATCAGTACGTCATACTACAATTGGGTGATCTGCTGTCATATATCATAAAATTTTGTTGCCTATACATGTTTATATGAACATTGTATCACAGCATAGAACGATAATTGGCATTCATGTTTCAGAGCTATGGCATTATAATGCTGCACACCATTCAGGTGTGGCACGAAGCCAAAATATGCACAATGATGCATAATGTGCATCAAGGTCCCTTAATGTTCAATGTATGTACTAAGTGTGAAATCCAGCCATTCACAACCAAGATGCAGAATGGTAGAAAATTCATCTCGAATAAAATTGTCAAACAAACAGACATGCACATGTATCCCAAGATGTATGATGTATGAACAAGATTGATCTAGGTATGTCTCAGATACATTTAACTATTATGAATAATACACATAAAAAGTTAAATCTTTGTCCAAACAGAGACTAAAATTATGACAGATGGTATAATCACATATTATACTTACAGAACTAGTTCCTGAAACCTGTAGTTCAGGTTCATTAGACTCAAGAAGTTTTTGAACCATTTTAAGAAAACTTTCCACAAACAAGTTTAGACTTTGAGAATGACATGCCAATAACAGCTGATCTAATGCTTCCATGGAAATAAACACATATCTGTCAAGGAAAAAAACAACAAGTAATTGCATTAAATAGTTCCGAATAAGTTATCAAGTTTTAAGAATTACATGAAGTTTGAACACGAACATGACATGTACGTCAGAGAAATGGCTCCAGAAAAGCTTTCATTCAAACAAAATGCTTTCAAATTAGAATTTTGAACTCAATGTGGCATCAAGGTTTTGTAATATTCCAAGAATGTACTAAATTTAATTTAAATCTGATCCAGTTCTTTGATGCCATCATGAATTAGATTCTAAAACAGATGTGTGAAGCTTGAATGCGATTGGTCCAAGTGAAGACACATGCAAAGCTACAGGGGTCAATCCACAGGTTATAGTTTTTGACTGACTAAAAAAATATGATTAACAGGAATGGCCATCTTCAACCTGGACATCACAACACAGCAGTTTAATCTACCAAATTTAATAGAAGTCTCATCCCCCTGTGCTCTTTGGATGATAAATTGAAGACAAAATCACAGATTAGGGTTGTCCACTTCTGTGTGTTGCAAGCAAGCTTTCCATCTTACACCTTGACCCTTGATAGTAAGTTTATTATGGCACTCACCCAAATTTATGTCTTGACACATCACGGCTCAGTTTCTTAGCGAGATAATCACCAATACGATCCAATTTCTCAGGTGATGACAGTGCGTAGAATGTCAGCTTCTCCATATTGTTCTTTATCAAGCCATCCTGATTGGATTATAAAGTGTATGTGTACAGCACAATGAGATCTACAACTAAATCTATATCATGGTCGTGGAACAACCAAATTTGGTGTTAAAATGCCAAATCACAGGAGTCCTAAGACAAAAAATTATCAAATTGAATCTGAACAACTGATATCATATTAGAAGCACACCTGTAATAAAACTGTGCAAAAACCAAATAATTGCATTTAAAACTCTTGGTCATTAAAATATTACTTTACTGTAAAAAACTTTATTTTAGCTGGAATTAATTTTCGTTGAAAAGACATTTTGGGTGTTTTGTATGGAATTTATATTCACTGATTTTTGAAAAGTTTAATCTAAAATATAGGAAAAAGGTATATTCGCTGGATTTTATTTTCACTGAATCATTCCTTCATCGAAAATAGTGAAAATTAATTCCAAGCGAATATAAAGTATTCTACAGTATTTGATATAGAACAAGTACAATAATTGCATTACATAGTCCCTGTTCCCCAGAGTAGTCAAAGTTAAATACCATTGTCTATATTTTGTCTACTAACAACATACCAACCCTAGATATACTAGGTAATTGCCAGTCTCAATAAATATTGTTTCCACGGCAACTCGCCTTTTGTAGGGATGATGTTCAACCAACCATGGACACTGCACATTCCATTAGCTCCAGTTTTTCAACTGTGTCTAACAGGGGCTAGGAACCTCTTATTAATATAAATGTCATGCTTAAAAACGAAACTTGATTTATTTTGTATCTATATTGACATTTTATAATCTTGTATTAACCTTTAGTATTTCCGTATAATCCATTTCACACGAGTTTACATTCATATGGGAAACACACAATCCACACCTAACCAGACAACTTAACACAATTTTATAAGTGTCACAGACAGTGTTCTCAAAGCCAATTTGGCACTGAGAAATAATGTGTTTTCCTCTCACGAACAACCTTAAATCATGTTTAAAATAAAACATGAACAAGTCATTTTAATGACACAGTCCCCGTCCAAAATTGTGTGATCTGACATATCAATTTGATGTTGATGAAGTCATTGAGATTAGATTGAAACCATTAATTGGAGATGGATTTGTAAAAAATTATGATTTAGTGCTTTTACATGAGAATTGGACATTGGGCAGTCATATTGAATCAAATTACAAAAATAATGTTTATGTTGATGTATCTATTGGTATACTGTCTTTGTACAAAATTTGAACAGAAACGTTCATTGCATTCAAAAGAAAGAAGCATGGGTACCATGAAAAACAAAATGGCCGCCAGTCAGCCATATTTGTTCGAATCACGGAAAAAATAAGACGTGCACCTATAACCCAATATGTATGATCACCATACCAACGTTTATCCTAATTGGCCTAGTCATCTCGGAGAAACAGCCATGGACATGTATAAATTGCGATTTAGCACTTTTACATGAAATTTGGGCATCAGTCAACTATATTGAATTGAATCACAAAAATAATGATGGCGTAGTTGTATCTCTTGGTATACTATCTTTGTACAAAATTTGAACAGAAACGTTCATAGCATTCAAGAGAAAGTAGCATAGGTACCATAAAAAACAAAATGGCCACCAGTCGGCCATATTTGTTCGAATCACGAAAAAAAAATGACGTGCACCTATAACCCAATATGTATGATCATCATCATGAGCTTATAAATATCACCAGAAATACACAATCCAGGAGACCATGAACCAGACCATTTATCATGAGTTTATAAATATCACCAGAAAT